ATACATTATCCACGTCAGTTTCACATGTTGCTGGTTTTAATGGGGCTACTGGTGAACTTAAAGCCACATGGGCATGTGACATATGTCAGGGTGTGCCTCCATTGGCTGGCACTGCTGCAGGTAACTGCATGGTCGTGACAGCTTTCAGCGCCTAGGTGTTCTTTATTGCATGTAAATATATTGCTTTGAAATCATCCTTTTCTCAGAAGATAATATTTGGGTCAGAAGGCTTTTTATTTCTCAGTGCCTGGGTAGCAGGGCAAATGATCAGTGTTTGAAATCCAGCTTTGCAGTCGAGTTTCATAGGGATTCGGTCCCTTCACACCCCACTTTTACTTTTTCTGTTCTACCCAGGAAAACAGGTGCCGCCACTAACTGTCTGGGAAGACAGAACAGGGCCCCTTCTCCAGGTGCCCATGAGCGATAGGGACTCATCAAAAATAGCAAAACAGGAAAAACAGTAAAACATCAAAAACAGTAAAAAAAAACCTTATGTAAACACTCGGGGCAGTAAATGAAAAACTTATGTTAATACAGTACTAAGGATGAAAATGGTAGATCAGAAGCTTCTTTTTTAGAAAAGTAGGCGGGGGGGGATAAGAGCCTGGGAAATACGAACGTCAAGTTCCCATGGAAACAATCATTTACCCACAATGCAGATAGCCCATGTGCACGAGAGTCCGCGTGTGTAAAAACGGTGGCAGACACACTCTGAGCACGTGGTGGAGCGTTGCACATGGAATCCCCTGGCACAGGTGCCAGGATGGAATCCCGCCTCACCCCGGCCTCTCCATGTGTGGTCTTGGGAGCTAACGTTGCAAATAATTGCTGCCAGACAAAAATCATCTGTGGACAGCGGAGCAGGAGCAGATTCAGAATATCTCCAGTTTGGTTGCATCTTCAGACTCGGGTGTTTTTCCACATTTGCAACCTTAATGCCGTTCAGGTCTGGAGAGGGTAACGAACCAATTCTGTGGAAGAAAGGAAGGGCTCAAAACAAGCACTTTGAGAGCGGAAAGTGAGTTCACTTCCACCAGGAGATAGCCGGATGCAATTACAGGGTCACTCAGCGGTGACACAGAAACCCCAAACGGCACAGTGAAGTCGTCGGTGTTTTGAAATTTTATCACAAATAGTTTGAAAGGTTAAACATTAGAAGAAGTTTCCCAATGGAAACCTGAGAAAACTATTGCACTGGATAATTGATCTCCTTTGGAGTTGTTTCTTCATCATCCTCGACATAACATAGATATTATATTAGATATTTTTTTAAAAGAAGGTGTTTTGCTGAAACTTAAAAGAATGTGTGAGCTTTTTAGAAATTCTGTTTTTTTTTCTGTTCTGCTACAATTGAGTCTGGAGTTTTTAACGCCCAAGGAGACTTGTTTCTTGGAAAGGTGTCAGTGAGGGGAGAGAGCTCCACCACGGTCTGGTGATGGACGCCGTGCGGTGACCGCTGGCTGCGCATGCGCGGTGACGGTGGCATGCTGTGGCTCTTCCGCTGATGCCATCAGCAGGGTGAGCACCCTCAGCCCTCTCAAATTCCAGCCTCCGCAGGCTTAACATACTGTGGAAAGATTTTCAGTGAGCGTCTCAGAGCGTTCTTTTCACTCAGAGCCACCCCTCCGCGGGGCTGGAGCAGGAGCTTGGCAACCGTGGGTGGCTGTGTCTGCGAACCGCCTGGAATGGCGCTCTTCCTCTGACCCCCCTCCAGGTGAAATCCTCCGCTGTCCACTCAGGGCGCCCTTGGAGCACCAGGCTCTCTCCTTGCTGGTATAGGTCTGGTGCAGGGCTGGGGGGTGGGGCTACGTGAAAATCTGATGCGAACATTTTATATACGTTGTATACCAGGTGGTGAAGTAAAATACAGGGTCCGGCACACATAACGCCCCTTCTTTTTATTACAAAATCATAAGCATGTAATTCTATAATATAACAATATCGCTCTCAAGCATACCACAGGTCATTTTAGGGGAAAGGCTCAAATTAAAACTATAAATTATTATACTCATTATTACCCTACTAATCACACTCAAGCAGGTGTTACCTCTGCTGGACCCTGTATATCTCTTACCACGAGTCGCATACAAAAGCTGTGTTTCTCTAGAAGTGTTCCTTTGTAGTTGAGAAGGCCAAGGCTGACATCCCAGAAGCCAGATCTATTGGCCTCTTCTCAGCCTCATCTGGACTTCTCTGTCCTATTTGGCACTGAGGTCCACCTTCTATTTGAATTTTCCCCTTCTCTTCCCTTCCCTTCCCTTCCCTTCCCTTCCCTTCCCTTCCCTTCCCTTCCTTCCCTTCCCTTCCCTCCCCTCCCCTCCTCCCTCCCTCCCCCTCCCTCCCTCCCCTCCCCTCCCCTCCCCCTCCCCTCTCCTCCCCTCCCCTCCCCTCTCCTCCCCTCTCCTCCCCTTCCTTTCCCAGAGCTACTTGCACAAAAAGAAATTCAGGTGTTCCCTGGCCAGCATAGCTCAGCTGGTTGGGGTGTTGTCCTGTACACCAAAAGGTTGGGGGTTTGATTCCCAATCAGGGCACATGGCTGGGTTGCAGGTTCGGTTCCCGGTTGGGGAGCATATGGGAGACAACCAATTGATGTCTCTCTCTCACACTGATGTTTCACTCCCTCTCTCCCTTCCCCTTTCTCTAAAATCAATAGACTTTTAAAAATTATACCTATTTAAAAAAAAAAGAACTCCAGGAGTGTAGGGACACAGGTGGTCAGCCTCCAAGTTGCCTCGCACACCTATCGTTTTGTTTCCTGCCACCCTGCGCCTCCCCCTCTCACAGCGAGTAGGACTCAGCCGTGTAGCCAGTGGGATTCTGCAGAAGGAACCACTGTGACTTCCGAGGCTGGGTCATGGAAGACATGGTGGTCTCCACCTTTCTGTCTTGGAGCACCATGGGATGAGGACTGTCACCTTAGACTCAGATCCTCCAGCCCAAAGAAGTCTGCAGATGTCTGAGGCCTGGCTGACAACTTGCCTCAACCTCAGGAGACACCCAGCCAGAGCCACCCAGCTGACACCCCCAGGTCTTGACGCACGGAAGCCAGGAGACAGCGATGCTGCTGGCTGAAGATGCTGAGCCTTGGGGTGATCGGTCAGGGGTCAGTAGACAAGGGAGGGGGCATGCTCTTTAGATGGTATGTTCCCAGACCCCACCGCAGGCCTACTGATTGGGTTCTGTGTGGAGGGGCTGGGAATCTGCGTGAATATCTCTGCTCTTCCTCCTTTTTACTGACTGGCCTCCCTGGCCGCAGCACCCCCTCCCCCACCTTTTCCTACAGTGCAGTTCTCAAAATTTCTGTCCAGGGCCTCTGCCCTTTTCCCTGCACCCTCCCCAGGCAAGCGCATCTAGTCTGTGACTTTAAGGGACAGACTCGGGTGATGCATGGACCCGCTTTTCCTGCTTTGACCCCTCTGCAAGATACCTACGTTGTAATTTCCAACCGTCTGCTGGATATTTCCAGATGGAGTTCCCTCCAGCTACTCAGATTCAACATCACATTCATAACTGTCGTCATAAAACCTCCTTTTCAGTTGTGTTCCCTATTTTTATTAGCAATTTATAGCTTGGTCTCCTAGACTCTAAATCTTGATGTCATCTCTGCATCCTATCTGCCCCCCCTCCCCCCACAAGCCGTCCTGGCCCCTGAGATCTGACAAACCCCCTCCTCAGAGCCTTCCACGGTCACGGCCATGGTCCCTGTATCTCTTAGGAACTGAAAACGATGTGCATGATCCACACGTATTTTTGAGCTCCGTTGATTTGATGGCTATCAGAAAAGCTTTACAAAATTTACTGAGAAAGTAAAAGAAATAAGTATTCAAATTGTAAAGGTCAGTCATAGGATCTCGGGAAAGTGGGAGGGCCCCCAGCTAACACTCCAGAGCCCCAAAGTACAGGCTTTAGGCACCGAGGGGACTTGTGTTAGTCAAAATCGTCAAGTGATTCTGTGCAAAACTGCCCCCTCTGATTTTACAAAGCAAAAATAAATATAAATAAAAATGCTGAGTTTGATTTAGCTACTAGAAGTTAATCTGTCCTGAAAGTTAATTGGCTAAAGTTAATCCCAGTACGAGTGGACCCAGTAAAAGCCGTCATTTCCAGGCTACCACCGGTCTGGGAGGTTGGGGGAAAGCCGGTAGAGGCAAGGGATGCTTTGGTGGCGTTATCAGAAACACGGTATTTACAGCAGAAAACTGCCCCGGAACGAAGGGGTGCCCCTGGTTCAGAAGGGCTGCCTGCCCCATCACCTCGTTTGCACACACCCCTTAACTACCCCGGTTGGAGAGCGGGCGGCCAGAGCCAGTGGGAATTCACAACCTCACCCGCTACGGGGCGAGCGCGGGCACCGGAAACGGCATAGAGACATCACCCAAGAGGCGAGCTCGCTCTACTGGGGGCCGGGAGAACAGACACCCTAGATCCCCTTGGGTTCCCACTCAAGTCCCCCGACAGGCCCTGTCGCCGCAGGGAAATTTCTGCAGCGGCACGCACGGATCGCTCTACCCCTGACCACGGGAGAGCGCAGCGGGGCGGAGGTGCGGTGGGACCAGTGCACACCGCCCCCCCCGCCCGGCTTAAAGAGTCCTCGCGCAGGACGCCGGCGGTTTGCAGAAAGTCCGGAAGCTAAGGAGTTGGGGAGGCGGACGAGTGTCCTTCGGCAGGCATGCCAGGACGCGTGCAGAACCTTGGCTCCGGGGAGGGAGGAGGACTACAGTCCACAATGCTGGAAAACAGACTGTAGCAATCGGCCGCGCCCGCCACCCGCCTCCCCCTCCTCGCCCCGCGCGGGGTGGTGAGGGTGAGGGCGAGGGCACATGACCAGCCCGGCTGAGCACTCCCGTCCCAGGGTTTGGCGCCACCGCCGCGGCAGCAGCCTAAAGCAGAGCGCTCTCCCACGCTGCGCCGCCGGCGCTGGGGGCACTAGACGCCGCTTGGAGGCCGCAGCCGGCACCTGGCTGTTGCTCAGCCCAGGCGGGGACCCCGGTCCAGCGCCAGGGAGGGGTCAACCCGGCCCGCGCGCGTCTGGGAGGGAGGTCGCCAGCACGTCGCACCCCGACAGGTGCAGGCGCGCAGGCTTCCGATTGGTCGCGGAGGCGGCGGCGGCCCCTTCCCGCTCCCCGCCCGCTCTAGTTCCCTTCCCTCGCGGCCGCCGCTGCGCGCCTCCGCTCCGCCCCTGCCACCTCCCTCCTTCCGCGCCGCCACCGCCGCCGCGCGCTCCCGAGCTCAGGTAGCGGGAGCGCGGGCGCCTCCTCGGGGGCGCGCGGCCGGGCTGCGGTCCTCCCCCACCACCCCGCACCCAGCGGCTCCGGGAGCCAGGGGAGGGAGAGCGCGGGCGGGGGCAGCCGGAGCCCCGCCGCCGAGGCTTCCAGTCTCTGTGGCTCGCGCAGCGGCGGCAGCAGAGGTCGCGCACAGATGCGGGTGAGACTGGCGGGGGGAGGCGGCGGAGGAGGGAAGGAAGCTGCTTGCATGAGACCCACAGGTAAGACCCGGAGCCCCGGCAGGGGCTTTGCATCCCGGGGAGGCGCGCGCAGGCCCAGGAGGGGGAGTTGGTGCCCGGTTCTGCCCCCCGGGGAAGGATTTTTATTCATTTATTTAATTATTTATTTTTGACGGCGCAGGGCAATTTCATTGGGGACCGGGCAATAGGACTCGTCCTCATCCTGGGGTAAACCAGAGAAGTATCCTGGGGGATCGGGTGCCACATGTGAGATTCCTAAGAGTGACCTGTCTAGGCCCAGGAAAAAGTGTTTTTTTCGGCCCCGAGACACTGGAAGGCTTTAGACTTTCCCCTCATGGTCACTGCCGCTGGATCCCGGGGACCGGCGCAGAGCCAACGTGCGCTACCCCGGGCCCTCCCTCCCCTCCTCCATCCCTCCCCGCACGCGCAGCATCCCGCCGCGGCTGTTACTCAACCCGCGCTGGGGGGATCTCGCCGTGGGAGGAGGGGTGGGAGAGGACCTCGGATAGAGCCTGGAGCCGGGGAAGCCGAGCTCCACCCCCGCCCCCCATCCCCGAGTCCCATGGCTGAGGAGCGGAAGCGTGGCCCCGGAGCCCAGGCAGCCAGGGGTATTGTCGTGTCGGTTCCTGGTTGCAGACTCTTGCAAGCCGGATGCCCTCTGTGGATGAAAGATGTATTATGGAATGAACCCGAGCCATGGAGATGGATTTCTAGAACAGCAGCAGCAGCAACAGCAGCAGCCTCAGTCCCCCCAGAGACTCTTGGCCGTGATCCTGTGGTTTCAGCTGGCCCTGTGCTTCGGCCCTGCACAGCTCACGGGCGGTGAGTGACTCTGCTGCGACCAGGGGGGCCAGGACGACAGGGAGGGGGAGGCTGGCCGGCAGGACAGCCCCGCCACTCCCCCCTATACCCAGACTTCTGGGGTACCTGAGAACCGGAGGAGCCCCTGTGTCCCAGCCTAAGACCATCCTTTTTCTAAGCTGCTGGAGTTCCCCCCAAATTCCTCTGGAGCCTGCACAGCCTCATACCCGCAGTCTTCTGTCTGGAGCTTCCCATCAGCTGCCCAGCCTGCCTTCTCTGAAGGGAAGACAATAAGGCTGGCCTGTTATCCCACTTTGGCAGAGAGAGAGAGAGGGAGAGAGATTTGTGGATCGTGGGTGCTTGTGGACCCCTCGTCTACGCCCTCAGCAGACAGGGGGCAGGTTTCGGTTGCAAGACCCCCTTCGTGCATGCAAAGGGTCTGCTGAGAACAAGGCCGGGCCGGCTGCAGGACTGGTTCACTGGGAAGTTAACTTTCTCTCTCCTTGGGAGGTGGCGTGTGCAGGCATGCCTGTGCATGTCGGGGGTGGGGAGGGGTTTTTTCAGATGCGTTTCTGGAGGATTGCTTGGCTTCTCCAGCCTGAGTTACAGGGGGAGCCAAGTCCAGTGCTTTCGTATGAGGTGGAAGCTGGCTGGGGTGCAGGTTAACCTCAGACCCCAGAGGCGGCAACCCTGTAACATCCTCGGTTTGGGGGGAGTGGGAGAGACGGAGGTCCCGCCTGCATTTCAGAGCCTGAGAATGTCTCTGCCTCCCCGGTCCACCGCTGCCCGTCACCGCTGTCCTCTCCATGGTTTCCGTGAGAGCTTGCAGATGTGTCCGTGTTGAAAGGACAGAACCAGGTTCCGGGGCCGAGATACCGTTCACATGTAAATAAGTTATAATTGGAGGAAAAACAGGTATTGATTGATATGTATACACCATTTTAGTGCATTAAGATATTGCTCTTTTGGAGAATTCCAAGGTGAAAATGGGAAAAAAAAGAAACATTAGCAGAAGTGGGGGAGGGTAGTAGCAAGTTGGGACTTAGCACGGAGCCATCAATAAGGCAGGCCTCGCCCTTAGAGATGACGGGAAAGGCACTGTCTGCTGTGCACCAGGCAGAACTGGTGAGGAGACCCGTGCTTTGGAGGGGGGTCCTGTTTGGGGTTTTGATTTCTTTTTTTCCCCCAAAAGGTAACTTCTTTGGTGCTCTTATTTTTATGGTACTGTCTCTGAGGCAGGCTCCCTCTTCACAGAGGGCAAGTTCAAATGCAGTGCCACGACAGCACCCGTGTGGGGCTCTGGTCGGAGCCTGGGCCGAGCCCTGGACCCGCGAGCTGCGCCGGTGGGCAGGGCCGCATGGGGCCGAGATGACTCATTTCCTTCCCCCTTCTCTTCTCTTGCCTTCTGTCTAAGTTTCCATCGCCCCAGACCGGGTCCACGTGGCCTCTCCCCCTCCCGGGGAGGGAACAGAGTCATCCGCGTGCGCCCACGTGCGTTTTGAGGGTCGATATCGCAGGTGTGAGGTCTGAGCACGGCCCAGACTTGGAGGCTGTGTTCTGGGTTCTGCCGCTTGCTCCGGATCTCGGGGCGCAGCGCGGCCCCCTCGGCCTCACATTAGTCACCCACCATCATGCCCTGGATGCGTCTCTTCCCAGGGGAGGGGGCATCGGGCAGAAAGATCCAGAGCTTTGAGGATGAAGCAGGGAAGGAGAGTTGCTGTCGCCTCTCTGTTTCAGAGGTCTCCCTTTTTAGGGGCTCCCACTGTTCCATCTGGAACTCCTTCAGATCCCGGGTCTGAGTTCCGGAAGAACACTTATAATTTCAGAATTCCTCTGTGAATACACAGTGTGGGTGGGGCTATCCTGTGGAGTTCACTCTTCAGAGATGCCTTTCCTAGGGAAGAAACCCAGAGGGCGGGGGCCCAGGGTGGTAATAAGAGGAAATTTACTTCAGTTCTAGATCTGTGCTTCTAAAATTTGACTGTGCCTAGAAACCAACCTAGGATGTTGCTCAAAGGCAGACTCTGGCTCAGCTGGTCAGGGCTGGGGCCTGAGGGTCTGCATTTCCAACCGGTTCGCAGGCGAGGTCCTTGTTCCTGGCCCAAGGACCGCACTTCGTCAGCGCCTCTGTAGACCAAAGCCGAGGGGTTCCTCCAGATCAGCCAGTCCGGCACAGGAGTTCCGGCCGTCCCTCTCGGGCGCCCAGGTGCAGATGGCCTGGGGGTGGGGCAGGTGTTCCCGGAGTCTAACCTCCAGGGGAGACACGGAGCTGGAAATCAGCCTTCCGAGAGCGCTCGCCTCTACTTTATCGACAACGAAAGGTGCATATTTAAGAGGCACTGCTCTGAAATGTGGATTTTCATTTTTGGTTGCTTTCCGTGGAAGAGGAACACCACAATAGCAAGCTCTGATAGCCTCCGCTGGGAGGAAAAAAGCCTGTGCCCAGTACAAGTATGACGGAAAAGCCTGGACTAAGAAAGGGAGAAATTGAGAAAATGATCAGATGAAGAAAGGCGGGGAAAAGGACTCTTATCAAAAAGGAAATGTTTTGTCCTCCAACCCCAGAGATTCAATTCAGTTCGCTGAGCCCCGGGAGGGAGAGCTTGCAGGAGCCCGAATTGGCCTCAGGCGACTTTGGGGTGGCTCTTCCCAGGCTGTCTTTTGTGAATTAGGAAGGCAGCCTTCACTGGGGGCCACGGAGACCAAACACCCAGAGACCACTGACAATCAGGTGGATTGGGAGACGCCGGTCCCTGCTGCTTCCAGCATCTGCGTGGAGCCCGGCTGGGCTGATTCTCTCTTCCCCCATCCCAGTTCCTGTCCACAGAGGCAGGATTTGGGGGGAGTTGGGGCATAGGGGAAAAGAGTAAGAGTTTGCTCCATACACCGTTTGCTCCGTACACCGGTCCTTGAAGACGGGCTCCTTAGCACATCCCGGTGTTCTCAGGAACCCAGGCCCAGGCTGCTCCCTGAGAGCTTTGGGGCCTTTGAAAGCCCTGTTCAATGAGGATGGTGCTGCCTGCCTTGCAGGGTGGGTGGGAGGGATGGAAATCACGTAGGTGCTTGCTCTGTAAAGGCAGCGGTGGTGGTGAGGAAGGGCTTTGACGGTGCTGTAATGACCTGGGCTTTTGCCTCACTCCCTCAAGGCGTATCGAGTGCCTGTTCCAAGCACAGAGGTCTATGATACTCCTTTCACCTGGAAGAACCTTTATTTATGTTTTGCCCCACGAACAAACGTCTCCTCAAGACCCAACACAAATGCCCTCATCTGTTCAGTAACTTCCCTGGTCACTGCATTCTCCCCTCCCCTGGACCCCCTTCTACTGCACGGGGTATATATAACCCTCCTTCCTGGTGTCTCATCCACCAGACCATAAGCTCCCCAATGGCCAGGACCCCACCTTCCTTCATTTTTGTGTCCCAGGCGCCCGAGACAGCGTTAGACGCATGGAAGGTGCTCAGTGCTGGTTGACAGCAAGAAAAAAGGTCCCCAAATTACTGCCACACCGCTTAGGAAAGAATGAACAAGGGTGGTGACAACATGCAAGAGTGTCGTGGCACCTGAGGCCACTTCCGCTTGGAGGGGGTCTTGGAGGTTGGAGAGAAATCAGGGAGGGCTCCCAAGAAAAGGCGGTGCCTAGGCTGGGCTCTGAGGGAGGGGGAGGCGGTTGGAGCACCCCGAAGGTTTCCCTGAAAGAACAAAGCATTTTATTCACTTTCCCATTCCAGCTGCCATACGATATTGTATCAGTTTCAGGGGCACAACATAATGCTGAGACATTTGTGTACCTGACCAAGCAGTCACCGTGGTGAATCTAGTGCCCATCTGACACCACGCATACTCATTGCAACATCATTGACCATGCTCCCTGGGCTGTGCTTGGCGTGATTATCTTTATAACCAGCAACTTGTACTGCTCAACCCCTTTGCCTTTCTCCCCTCGCCCCTCCAACCCCGCTCCCATCTGGCGACCACCAATTTGTTCTCTGTGTCTGTGAGTTTGTTTCTGTTTTGTTTGTTTATTTTGTTTTTGAGATTCCACACGCAGGTGACATAGTGTGGGGTTTGTCTTCCCCTGTCTGCCTTACTTCACTTAGCATAACACCCTCAAGGTCCATCAAAGAGGTTGACTTCCAAGTAAGAATTGGAGAAGATGGTCTGTGGGAGTGGTCTTGCTTACTCTGCTGTCCAGGGTTTGATGGTAGGGGCCCAAGATACTAAGTTCTAGGGGAAATTCTGGCCCAGTTTCCTCTTTTTTAAGAAAAAGAATCCCGTGCTACTCTTAAGACAGAAGAAATTACCCACTCAAGAAGAGAAACAAATAGAAATAATTAAGCAAGTTGCTCATGAACGAGAGTTAAAAGTGCATTTAAAATAGCTTTTTAATTGAGAAGACTGTAATTGCTTTATTAATTTTAAACAAGGTAAACTGGGGACACGAGAGAAGTATAGCAAAAACGATCCTTGACGTTATTTGGGCCTGACGGTGAACTTGGACACACGGTGGTGGAAAAAAAGCCTCCGTTACCCCTAGTGCCCCATGCCAGGGGGAAGGCACTTGCAGGCCCCCACGGGGCAGGGGCTGCGGCTGGCACGAGAGTGAACCCTCGGAATGAAAGCCTGGTCTCCAGACTTTGATTCTGAGGAGTGAGAGGGATCGCCGAGCTCCGTAAACTTGACCAATGATCATTTCATCGTTATCCCATTCAATGGAGCTCTTCAAGGGAGGATAAGTAAGGTTCGCTTTTGGAAATCAAGGTTCGACCTGGCTGTCTCGTGTTTCCGTTTGAAATCGGTGACTTTAATCTCCTGGAATTACCTGCATGGGTAATTCCAGTCTACACAGTGAGGGTCACTCACGGGCCATATTCCCTTTTCTCGAAGTAACAAAATCCAAGAAGACCTTGTTTCTTTGGTCTGATTGGATTTATCGAAGATACAAGTGATTGAATTGGGAGAACCAGTGACAGGAAGGTTCTTTTAAGAAAGAGATGACATCTGTTCTTGCAGTGGGTTCTGT